GCCCGCTCACTGAGATGTTTGTGGGAGTGAATGCTGAGCAGGCTTAGGGGTTCAGGTAAGGCTTGGACCCGGCTGTTTCCCTCCCCCTCCCCTCCCCTTCCCTTCTTCAGTCCCCGTACATTTATTGAACACCTACTATGACTCAGGAACGGGGGTCAGTGGGTTAGCCATCATGGATGGGTGAAGACCATCACACCTAACCCTGTCCATCAAAGCAGAGAGCCTTTTTTTGAGTGTCTGCTATGCAGCAGGTTTGGTGAACTTAAGTTCATTTAGAACGATCACTGTCCTTAGAGGCTGGTGACTGTCACTCCTCTCTGTTCAGAACCTCTGTTCATTCCCAGAGTGGGATGGAAATGCAGCCCCATCCCACTTGGGATGAAAAGCCACATTGCCCCTGTCTCCCTGAGGCACCTCCGTCTCTCCTCTGGCTCTGTGTCCCTTGCACCAGCTTTACCCACCACCCTGGCCTCGTGTCTGTTTTGTGCTCTTCCTGCTACCCAGGGGCCTTGCCGGAGGTATCCTCATGGCCCCCTCACTTCCTGCCAATCAAATTTCAAATAGCATCTCTCCAAGGAGGTCCCCTGTGACCCCCTAAAATTCCGAAGCCTGCCCCCGCCCCACTCCACCATGACCCTCCCTCACTGTTCCCTGGTTCTTTATTTTTCTCCATGGCAGTGACAAGCGAGTGGTGGCTTTATGTTCATTAATTCCCCTGCCTGTGGTTTGTCCTCGCTTGCCAACACGCACATCCCCCACCCCACAGAAGTGGCATGCAGAAAGGGGCTCTGCTCACGAGGTCCCTGTTGTCCTGCACCCTGCACATCACACAGAGGGCACAGTCGGCACTTGGGTGAATACACTTAGCAGCCGCGTCACAGAGCTTGGAAGTCGAGGCTTCTAGAAAGAGCTGTCCCGTTCGCTCACCAGAGTCCTCGACATCAATGGGACAATTTTCCCCAAATCAATCCCTGGGTTCCACACCATGGCCACCCAGGTCGTAGCTGGCATCTTTGCAGAAATTAACAGATTGATTCTAAAATTTGCATGGAAATGCAGGATCTGGGATGGCCAGGGCACTCTGGGACGAGAACAGCACTGAGAGGCCCGTCCTACATTGATGACAGGAATTGCCACAAAACTACAGGAATCAGTGTGCTACTGGGATACAGCAAACACAGGATATCAAGGTGTCAGGAAACAAGAATTTTGTGTAAATAGCAGGTTAGTTGTATTTTCTAATGAAATGCTCATTTTGTTTCTAGGCGATGTGCCTCTAAGGCTGGGGAACAGGTCCAATTATTAATCTGACCAAAGTCCAATAATGACATATCGAAGCCCAAGAGCACAGGGGAGACAGTGTACTTGGATTAATAACTGGATCTGCTGCTTTAAATTTAGAGATTCTTCACCTGGAAAACAAATACCTGGAAAGCTGAAGAAAGATGTATTTTACATGTGATGTGTTAACGTGACTCACGTACCACTTAATGATAAGTGGATTTCTGCCTTAGGCCAACAGCCATGTGACAGGTGACACAGGTACCAGGATGTGAGGAGGAAGGCACTGCCCCTCGGGGGTCTTCCACCCAAATCCCATATGCCCAGTTCAACCAGGAGAGACAGACCCATTGAAGGACACCCTACAAAAACCTCTCAAGCCAGGCACAGTGGTGCACACCTGTAATCCCAGAGGCTCAGGAGGCTGAGGCAGGAGGATCTCAAGTTCAAAGCCAGCCTCAGCAACTTAGCAAGGCCCTAAGCAACTCAGTGAAACCCTGTCTCTACATAAACTACAAAATAGTGCTGGGGATGGGGCTCAGTGGTTAAACACCCCTGGGTTCAATCCTCAGTACCAAAAAAAAAAAAAAAAAAAAAACCTTCTCAAAATGGCCAAGGTCTTCAAATCCAGGGATTTACCTGAGAGACTAGCTGAGAAGAACCTGGGAGATGTGCAAAGAAGTGCAATGGGTGGCGGCCAATGAATGGGCCCTGGAACAGAGATGGGGCAGATGTCAACCCTGAGAAGATCCAGAGAAAGCCTGGAATCTGCTTAATAATCCCGTCAGCAGTGGTTCCTCGCATGATGCTGTTTCAATGAACCGCACCAAAGTAAGATGTTCACAGAAGGGGAGCGCCGCACTTCCTGCTGTCTGAGGGGGAGGGAGAGGATGGGAGCAGGAGGATGACTGAGGGTATGTGTTCCCTTGCACCCCTTCCTGGTTGTGTCCCTCTGTCCGAGGGTGTCCCCTTCCAGATTGAGGAAATCCTCTTGTCTCCCAGCTCTGCTGTTACCAGCCCCAGGGGACAAGGCTTCCTTCTTGGTCTCCCACTCCCCACCCACAGCGTGCCAGGTAAGGTCTCCTCCCAGCATCCTACCTGCGCTGTCTGGTTTCCTCAGAATCCTGGTTCCTAAGCCTCACGTGGCTCAAACCATGCAGAGATCGGGAGCCAAGACCCCACTGCCTGCCTTCCTGCTTCCCTCTGGATGTTAATAACATCAACAGGTGTTTTCTCAGCTCCAAGGAGAATGTCCTCTGCCTTCATTGGAGCTCATTTTCTATTCCCTGGCACTCTGTGCTCATAAAAAAAAAAAAATCTGTTCAAAAAATTTTCTCATTGGAAAATCTTTATACAGCTGAGAACAGTCGTTTTGGATTTGGTCTATTGGAGAGTGCTTGCCGGGCATGTGCGAGGCCCTAGGGTCCACCCCTAGCACTGCAAAAACAAAAATCTAAAACAAACTTCCCTGTTGTTCCTTTATTAACCCTAAACGTCTCTGTTAGTCCTTTAACCCGACCTCTCTGTGAGACCCTTCCCACTTTGCCTTTGGCTTCTCTCCAGCTCCTCCATCTCAGAAAGGAAGAGAGTGGCTCAAAAATATGATAGGACAGGAAAAGGGAGGGACGGGGAATGACATGGACCAACTCTCCTGTGTACATCTATAAAGCACTGATTTTTGAAAGCCTGTAGGTAAACTGGAGGAAGACCAGTAGGTAGAGGAAGGGGAACAGAGGGAGGGAGGAGGGGAGAGGCAGGGGAGCACGGCCTTGGAAAGGAGAAATTTCAACATGGATGAGCCTTGAGAAGGTTATGCTAAGTGAAGTCGGCGGTCATCAAAGACACGCACTATGATTCCGTGTGTACGTTTGAGCTTTGCAATAGAAGAGTCCTGGAGGTGGAGGGGGAGATGGAGGCCCACTTTGTGCATGCCCTAAACTGCGCACACAGATGGTTAAGGTGGTTGATTTTATCAGGTCTATTTCACCACGATTTTTTGAGTAAAAAAGAAATGTATGTGGAAGACTTAGAGGACAACAGAGGTGACGACCGGTAAGGACATCAGCAGGAATGTCTGCAGCAGGTGCTGCTGGAGAGCCTCAGATGCCTGGTCTGCACAGGGGAGCCATTCATGGGCCTAGTCTGGGTCAAGGGAGAGGAATCGGGGCAGGGACATGGGAGGGGCAGGGAAGCAGAGGAAGTGGGTGTGGACCGTCCAAGCTTCATGGATTCAGGAAATGTTTAAGGCTAAACATAAATCAGAGAAGATGGGGTTGATAAGGGAGCGCTATTAGTCATTTTTAGTGTTTGGTTTATGACTCAGCCACCCCACTCACCCAAACAGGACCCCAACACCATGTCCCTGTGAGCATGCTCTGTCCAGGGGCTGCTGGTGCAGGACACGGATGATGCAGCTCTGTGGGGTCCTCACTCCTGCTCTGGCCACTCGGGGTTGGGAGCAGAGGCCTAGGGCAGGGCATCCTCAGATGAATCGACCGACACCAGGTTTTTAATGTCGTAAAGCTTTGAGCAGATTCCATCTGGAAGACATTAAGCACAGGCCTGTTTGCAGATGTGTTAACCCCACTTTAATTGTGATACAAACCTCAACGCTGAATGCATTTTTTTTTTTTTTTTTGCTGTCTGTCCCTAAATGCGCCCGCTGTTTACGGAATGGGGCGTCTCTGTAACCAGAGGCCAGGACTTCAGAATTCCTCGCGTCCTCTCTTTGGCTCAAATCCGTGCACCTCGGTAACCAAGATCACCAAACTAAATGATCTCAGGGAAAGCGCCATTAAAAAATCTCATCCAACACTCAATTTCTAGAGAAATTGCCGGTACATTTGCAAAGTGTGGGTTTCAGCGGTCTGACTTCAGATGCTCGGGGTTGAGAGCAAAGCCTTCTGGGTAGGGGTGATTCAGCTTCTCTGTGGTCCCCACCCCTACCTCAGTCACTCAGCTCCTGACACCCTCTGCCTGCAGTCCCCAGCAGGATCTGGTCTCAAGAGCCACTAGGACGTGGTGTGCTGGCTGGAGGGGAACCCCCCCCCCCCGCCCCCGCCAGGCAGGTGGGGCTCTGGGAAGTGTGTGAATGGAAGGAGGGATCAGGGCCTTGCTCTGGAAGTGGAATAATCCAAGGCCTACATGGGGCAGAAGAGGAAAGCAGGTCACGGGGCCCGAGAGGCATCAAGCTAGTGGCCTGGGACAGGAGAGGCTCTGCCGTGAGGTAGGTCCTGCCGACTTAAAGCTGCAAGAACATTCCTGGGTTGTCACTCAAGGGCTCCCATCTGTGAGTCTTCACAGTCTGAGGGAAGGTCTGAGGGTGGTGCTCCCATAGGGCGGAGCGAGGTCTTTACAGCAGTTCTGGGGACCCTTGGGGACAAAGCCTTTTGAAAAGATCATGATTTTGCTTTTTAAAAAACCGTGCCTTCTCTCCTGAACGTATGGTGGACTTTTCCAGAAGCTGATAGCTGAAGACTTTGTCACTGTGACGTCTGATGGCGTGTGAGACGTCTCTCAGTGTAAACCCACGTGCACAAGAGCTTTGGGAGTCCTCAGTAAATGTTGAGAGCACAAAGCGGGGTTAGACCAAAAAGTCTGAGAGCTGCGGGGGCTGAGGCATAGAATGAGACAAGGCCCACGGGTGACCACCAGAAAGACCTGGAAGAAAGATCTGGAAGCAGACGGTGATCACCTGGGTTTTGTTTTGTTTTGCAGGAAAAACTGCATAGAAAATCTAATGGATGAAGATGAGAAAGATAGAGCAAAGAGGTAAGTAAGCGGGGCTCAGCCTCCCTGGGGGTCCTCCCCTCCGTGGGCCCGTCCATCTGTCTGACCCTCTTTTAACCAAAGAGCCAGTAAGACAGGCAGCCACGGACATGTCTACACAGACTCCCTCCTGGATAAATGGCTGTGCCCTCTGAAGTGATTTCAGAGCAGGTCCCCCCCCCCCGCCCCCCGTTTGGCTCCTCACCTGTTCAGCTGCTCACTGTCTGGCACTTGTCAGCTGGTCTGATTCCCGCGTGCCCGTGTGTCACTCCCATTACGAGGTCCTCTTTTGGGAGGCCTCTGGTGACTGCTTTCCCAGGACAGACACTGCTTGGGAAGGCAGGCTGATTGGAGCTGGGCCGTCCTGGGTTCGAGTCCTGGCTCCATTGCTGAGGAGCTCTAGGCTTTGGCTAATAACAGCATCGCCATTACCCATCATTACTGAATGTCCAGGGGGCACCCAGCCCTGCTGCGTGCTGTCACCTGCTAACTGGAGTGGCACTGTGGTTGGGGTCAATGAGAAAGACTGGCTTGGCGTCTGGCATGCTGGAGCCCTTATGACCTTGTGTTGATTTCTTCGTGAGACCTGTATTGACTGCCTACTAAATATCAGGTCTAGTCACGATACGGACGTTTTGAAGGTCAAGAATGGCTGAGCGCCATCAACTTCACACAGAGTGCCCCGGAATGATGGGGTGAATGGGGTGATCAGGAGGTCCCAGCAGACTGCTAAGGTGCAGGGTGGTGGGCACAGCAATGGAGCTGTGGAAACACAGATGCCCTCTCTTGGGAAGTCGGGCATCTCAGGCCTGTGGACTAACCTCTCAGGCCTTTCTGTTCTGAGATCATTGGCTGTGTCTTCTAGGGCAGTCCCCTGTGAGCCTGCGTAGCTGAGGGGTGTGCCCATTTCCCTTCACAGAACCCATCCCTTGGTTGCTTGCAAACAATGGAGCCCTCAGTGGTCACCCAATTTGATGGCTCCAGAGTGAGTCTTTATCCATGTCACCTGGGGAGGCAGCCAGGAGAACCACACATCCTGGCCAACCCCGCCCGCACCTGCTAGATCTGAATCTTCCAGGCACTGGAGAGTCTAGATTATTTAAAAATTCCTCCAGTATTTCCTTTTTTAAAATCAGGGATCAGAGGCGTTGGTCGGCAGGGTGGATGGAACGCTGTTGGCATGGGATGAGGACGAGGCAGGTGGAAGGTCAGCCCTACTGACTCATCTCTGCTTTTATCTTATTTTACTCTTATTTCTTATTTTCCATCTGTTTGAAAATTCCTGCAATAAAAATTCAAAATAAACGATGATGCAAATAACTCCACAGCTTATTCTGAAGCACAGGCCCTGGGCTCTGCACTTGGCATTGGGAACCAGGGCTCCCCACAGCTGAGCTGTGCAGGCTCTGCATCATTGCAAGGGTTGCAAAATCCATCTGGACACCAACAAATAGAATAAACCAGAACAGACCAGACTGGACTCCTGTGTGCTCGCCCTATCCTGTGGGCAGGCTGGACTCCAGTTCTTTCCTCTGGGTGCTTTGTCCTTGGGTTTCCTGCAGTGGTAGCCATGGGTAGAGGACTGGAGACATAACCTGGGCTCATGAATCCCAACCAACCCCTTCATGAGTGGAGACTCTGTTTTCTCACCTGCAGCAGGAAATCTGTCCTGATTTCCTCAGGGATTATTTGGGGAATTATCCATGAAGAACAGTAATCAGCTCTTTGTAAATATTGATCACTACATAGATGTGAAAGTGCACACAGTTCACAATAATACACTCTCAGGGTAACAGCAGTGGCCAGCATTCATGAGGACTTCCTGTGTACATCACCGACCCACCGTCTGACCTGTCCCTCTCTATGCATGATCTTATCACACCTCTTGGAGGTGTGCATTGATGGTATTCCCATTTTACAGAGGAGGACAATAAGGCTTTAAAAGGTGGAGTAAATTTTCCGAGGTCAGAAGGCTCTAACAGTGACTGGCAGGTACCAAAGACGACCTGCATTCTGATGTGATGTGGAGTCCCTGGGAATTCTGCATTTGCCATTATCACCTTTAGTCTCTCCTTTGCAACTTCCCTGGCCTGGGCCCAGCCTGTCCACTGCACTGCTTACCTCTAAATCAGGAAGAGATACGACATATGCTTAGGCTCCGCCATCCTCAGAAATCAGCACGCACAGACGTGCAAAAAAGAAAAAAGAAAGAAAGAAATCTTGCCTATAAGTTCCTAGAAATAATTCAATTGTATGCAGGGTCTGCTGTATTTGGATCTGGAGTGTCCCCAAAAGCCCACATGCTAATGGGTTGGTGGCCAGCCTGTGGGTGCTATTGGGAGACAGCGGAGCATTTAGGTGGGGCCTGGAGGGAGGAAGTGAGGTCACTAGGGGAATACCCCTGAAGGGCATGTTGGTCCCCTAGCCCTTTCTTCTGTCTTCGTTTCCCAGATGCCATGAGGTAAACAGCCCTCCTGTGCCTTGTCCTGCTGCAGTGATACATTGTCCCACCACAAGCCCAAACTACAGTTGCAAGTGACCATGGACTGAAACATGAGCCAAAATAAACCTTTCCTCCTTTTATGTTGATTAACCCCAGGTATTTGTCACAGCGATGAAAACTGACTAACACACACAGTTTCTTTTCATTCATTCCCACCTCCTTTCACTTTTGGCAATGGGCATATCCTCTGTATCAGTCAGTTTTTCTGTTGCTAAAACAAAATACCTGAGGCTTAGTGGCTTTAAAAAGAGAAGAAGTTTATTTAGCTTGTAATTCTGGTATGGTTTGGGAGCTTCAAGGCCATGGCACTGTCATGAGCTGGGCTCTGCTGAGAATCTCATAGCTGATGGCATCACAGTAGAAGAGAGAGAGAGAGAGAGAGAGAGAGAGAGAGAGAGATCACATCATAAGCCAGGAAGCCAGAAAGTGAGAGATGATAGTCTTGTCATCTCTGAGTATGCCCTCCTCCCCTTATAGGTCCTGCCACATCTTTACATCACCTTACCAGGGACCAAGTTTCCAACTGGGGAACCCTTGGGGGACAAACCTCATCCAAAGTACTGCAGCCCCACAAGCCCTACTTGGAACCAAGTTTGTAGAGATACTATGGAGAGGCTGCTGGTCCTCCCTCCCCTTGTCCTGGGATGGGGGCACACATTTAGGATGTTTGCTGATACCCAGATCTCTCGGCCAAGGTCCCAGTACCCTTCATCACACTGGGGGAAAACAGAACAAACCAACCCAGGATTAGATCCCCTTCAAAGCCTCTAGTTGACGGGTTTTACAGCAGCCACCTGGAGGCCCTGACATGAATTATTCGCGAAAATTTAGCCTGAGATCAAAACCTTCACAGTCTACAGAAAACGTGCCCCGTGTGAGGTGCGCCCCGGGCTCTGGGGAATTCCTGGCTCACGTGTGTGTTGTTTGATCCTGTATCTGAACCAGGCCGTGGCTCCACTTTTTTCCATGAATTTCCGTGCGAATCCAGTGGGTATTGATCGAGTGCCTTGTGTGTGTTCAGATCTCTGTGTTATTTTCTTATAGGTAAGTTGTGAAAATAGGATCCTTGTTCTCAAGAAGGAAAAAGTTTGAGAGCTGTTCAGAATCCCTGGGTGATGAAGTTCACAGCTCCCCAGTTTGAGTTGTGGCTGTAGGCACGTCTTTCTAATTCTGATGTGATGAAATATTGTGTGTGTGTGTGTGTGTGTGTGTGTGTGTTCCAGGAAGTGGTGTAGTGTTGCACGCTGGGCACCTGCTTAGGATCAGACAAACTTGGCCTTGATTCCTGCCCTGTTACTCGTCATGGAATCTCTCAGCCTCGGTTTCTGTTTTCATAAAATAGGCGTGATGACGGTTGCAGTTTCCTCCTAGGGCCATTGAGGGATCAGGTCTGGCCGTGTAGGAACACCTGCACACAGTGCTGCTAGGAACAGCTTAACCCCCTGAGCACTCAGGGTGCCTGGAACACTTCACACGGAGTAACTCTCCAGTCTTTATCCCCCGCCCCCCATAGGCCATTACTAGCCCCATTGTGCAGATGAGAAGCCCAAGGCCCAGGGATCACACCGCCAGTCAGTGTCGGGCAGGGGTTCAAATTCCAGCACCAGGTTCTACAGTCTGGGTTCCTCTGACATTCGGGAAAGGAAGCTGTACCTTTTGCTTCAGTGGGTTCACCAGGGGTAGGAACAGTAAGTGCTGATAGAAATCTTGCTTTCCAAAGAAACCAGGTGTCTGTAACTTGGCAATATCATAAAATATAGCTTATCCCATTTCTTTTTTATTTATTTATTTTTTTTAAATATTTATTTTTTAGTTGGACACAATATCTTTATTTATTTAGTCTTTATGTGGTGCTGAGGATCGAACCCAGGGCCTCGCATGTGCTAGGCGAGCGCTCTACCGCTCAGCCACAACCCCAGCCCCTTTTTCCTTTTTTTTGATGCAAATGAAGAAACGGCTCCTGGATTCCTTTCTCCTTCCACCAGTTCTGAAGGAATACGCCATCTTCTCTCCAGTTGACTAGAAAGTTCTCTTTCCGTATCCCTGTGCCTTTGGTTGAGGGAGGAGGGTGGGCCGGGAGTCTGTGGTTCTGCTGCCCTTTGTTCGTGAGAATCAAGAGTGTCGGGAAGGATTAGCTGCTTCTTGGGGTTCTCAGTACAGGGAATGCTGGTTCTGAAGCACAGGCTAATCCCTTTCTCATTCTTTGATCCTAATCCTGTCTCAACACTGAAAAAAAGGTTCAGGCAAGAGGGAGGAGTCAAAACATAAAAAAACCTTTGTGCAAAAGCAGATGTGTCCAGAGGGACAGTTTTTGCCATTTGCAAACAGATTATTTCTTCTAGTCCCCACAGGAGAAGAAGAGGGAGATAGGGAGGTCTGTGGATGTGGATCAGCCACTGAGCCCATCCTGTCTGCACTTAACAAAGTCCTGTGGTAAGGCAGTAGAAGCTACAGAGGGGGACAAGTACGTAGTAGCATTATCCTGTCCTCAGAGAGCTTT